TTTTTCCCAATATATTTGGCCGCAGGATATTTTTTTTGCCTCTCATAATAACGGCTTACAGTAACTTTAGGCTTTCATATAGCTATCATCGGAGACGTAGCAGGGGTTTTCAGTCAGAGGAGGCCGAGAACTGAATCCCAAGATGGGCCAAGGAATTTTCACTGTGCTTTATTTTATATATGGTTATGTCTTAATGTTCCCCACACTAAAGCGTGCAAGTTTACTTACAAAGAATGTATAACTGCACCAAAACCTAAAACATGCAGGGATAGAGTAGAGTACTCGAAAATGGGGGAGGGTACAGTATATGAATGACCTGTAACCTTGGGGGGTTCGGGGGCAATGCTCCCCCGAGAAAATTTTAAAATTTGAACCTCGGAAATGCTATTTCCTGCGTTTTCAGCCATGGATAATTATCTTAAGCCCAGATTTTCTCAGGGGGGGGGGCAACAATTTTGCCAGGGAACACCACTGGCTATCGTATGTCAGAGGCTCCAAAGGCGGTAGATTCCCTGTGATGTTATCCACTGTTCACCCCGTGTTCTTTTGAGCATATGAGCCTGCTCAAAAATGCAAAATCTTGCAAGCCTGTGGACGCAATACTGAAGTGAAGAGCATCAGTAGAGTTACATGTAGAAAATTTTTTTTGAGCGCTCTCTTTTGCATGATATTTTTTTTCTCGATTGTGTGCTGCATGAATTTTTTTTCTTTGTCCTTGGGTTGCAGGAAATTTTTTTTCGAAATCTTCCACCCCCCCCCCCCTCAAAAGTCAAATGGTCCGCCCCTAATTTCGCTTTGAAATGCGTGCGTTTACTGTAAAATGTAATGAAATCGACAACTTGACCTTGCCCTTGACACCTTGTACTGCCTCAGCACTGAAATGTTTTTTTGACAACGATAATTTAACAGTGTTTCTTGGATATTTTCCTTGTTTAACTAGTAGAACCGAACATACAAGTGCATTAGAAGACTAAGCGAGAGTTTTGTATAGAAATGCTCTGTTTACGGGAAGTTATTTTGCATTCGCTAGCGTCAACAAAAGCCGGATTTTCACAGTTTGATTATCATGTCGATAGATAAAAGCTTTGTAAGGGACCGGTCATAAAGTAGAGGGGGGGGTGGGCTATGAAAATTGATTTTTTAAAGACTGGTTTACAGTGACCCACCCTCAAATTGTGACAATAAATTGAGGTGGCCCACCCCTAGATTAGAGCAGAAATCTTAGTGACCCCCCCCCACCCCGTCATGTAGATAATGTACTGTACGGTAATGTAGATAGGTGCGCGTACGTTGGCAGCATTGGCTTACCACGATTCTTTACTAGTTTAGTCAGAATCCCCGAAAAATCTCCGAGATTGAAATGTTGTAACACGCCGCCCGACTCTTGAACATAATTCAACTATGTCCAAACATAATGCATGATAGTACATCTGTACATTGAGTAGACTACGGTAACTAGAACACTTCCCAATGTACTGTATACAAATGTGAATTCCTGTTGTTTAATATATAAAGTTAATAGGTTAAAGAGATTTCGCAAAAGTTTTTATTTGCTATTTATTAATTAAATTGTGAGACGTGAATAATTTTACCTGACCCACCCCTAATGCAGTGCATAAATTTTCCTGACCCACCCTTTTCGACGTGTTGAAAAATAGTGACCCACCCCCAATTTTTCATAGCCCACCCCCCCCCCTCTACTTTATGACCGGTCCCTAACTTCAATTGAAAACATTTTAAACCACCCGTATTTCTATAGAATATATGTTAGTGATATTAACATTCAACTTCTTTCTGTTTGAACCCAAATTTGTACTTGTTTTGCGTTTTACAAGGCTGTCAAGCTCGCGACGATTGGCAGGCTTGACTGCAGATTTAGCGTGTCAAATGTCTTCTTGTTTGTGTCAAGATTATAATATTCTATTGCTGTTCAAACACAAACGAGATATTCTATACACTGGAAACGTAGAGTACATTTTACTCAGTCTTTGTCTCGAGCAAGAAAATTATAAAGATTAAACAGGCATTCAAAAATATACAACAACTACGAACATCTCGTTATTTCTTCGCGAAAATCTTCAAGTTTCAATGGAAATCTGGCGCATGCGCAACAAATTTCCCAGCTGCTTCACAGTTTAATGTATTCAGTTGTGTAACTCGCGGCCGTCAGTATTGATTATGACGTCCCCAAGAATCGAATGCTCGCGTCATTTTTGTCGCGTCACGAAATCGCGAAAGACCGTGTCGCTTGCAGATTTCAGTACAAAAACATAAGGGAAACAGCATTCGAATGGTGAAAATTTTGTTTTTGGGGTTAAAATTTTGCAAACCAATGGTAAGTGTTTTATATAACATTTATTGTTGTTTCATATCAAATTTCTTTCGTTAGAAATTGCAAATCAAATAACCCAGTGTATTACCACGAGGCTCGGAGGCTGTCATAGCTGCAGCATAAAATTTCGAAACTGATATTATCAACTAAACATATAAATGTCTAACAAAGTCATGGTTTGGATATGTAAATCATTCTCCATTTTAAGGTTAACACGTATAAAAACTGCCTATAGTAATATAAATGTTCAAATCTTAATACAGTTCTGTCACTCAACGCAATCCAAGACAGTCTGCCAGTCAACAATATTGAAATATTGAAACTTTAAATTCAACATAATTTTCATTCAGTTTTCATAGACCCTTCATAAGTGCTGAATCTTGATATACTTTCTGTTTTTTCTTCCTGTCTTTCTTGCTCTTAATTCTTGGTTGTTGAACTTTAAAATGTAATGCAAACGCATTTTCACAAATAACTCAATGAGGTACATGCTTGGGAAATAAGGACACTCTGATACACAAAACTTTGGCAATTTTGCAATTATGTGCTCTGCAATTTTTGGTCTTTGGATATTACAACTAATTTCATCAACAACTTTGCTCTCTATTTTAGTGACATACTGAATAAATTCATCTTGAGGAACAGTCAGTCCTCCAAAGTCACTCTTGTTTCCATAAGCTTTAAAATAGCACAGTAGCTGGCTGCTGTTGGTCAGGCTGGTCATGGTAAGCTTCTGTGCACAAGTAAGGCATTTGTGTTTCCCCAGGCATTTTCGCAGTAGGTATCCTGCAACATACGTCAGTGCATTCATGGACATTAAATTCTTCTCAACTTCCTCACGCTTGTAGTCTTTCTCGTCGATTACAGGTCCTTTCTTGGTGTTCTTTTGAGTACCTGGACAAGGATCTGACAAGGCTGACAAGCTGGATTGGTCCTTCATGGTCACCAAAAACAAAATCATTTGTTTTTAAAAATTTAAAAACATAATTCCTCTTCGTGGTTAAATTCATGATTTGTAGTGGCTAAAATCTCCGCAGTCTATGTTCTTCGTGTCTGCAGGAACCGGCGTTAAACTTAAAAAAGACAAAGTATAAAAGAAATCAATTTTACATTGATTTAAAATATAGCCCCCTAACCTAAGTCCACACTATTCTGCAACTTCCATGCCAAAAACAACACGAACAGTAAAGAAACTCACCCGAAACTGGCAAGGGTTCTTGACGTTCGAACAATCGAAAAACTTCATCATCGAGGCTTCAGGCTCAGCGTTGACCAAAAACCAAACAATATTTTCAAACATACATCGTTATTCCCAGAATGTAGTACTTTTAAGTGTACATGCTTTATAGTTTCTGAAACTTTGTCTTTGTTTTTCGTATTCACATTTGAAGCATGGACGTCATGGGCCATGGCACTTCTCACTCCTCGAGTCATATAATTTCATTTTTTATCGATATCAACAAATTCTTTAAGGCATTTTCTTGTGGAAAATTTAGAATGACATCCCTTCCTGCAAAATTTGTGAAAGTCCAGCATTCCTGATGGATATATTCTTTGAAATCGTTGTTTTAGTGTCCAAATTTTGTATTTTCCCATATGCTTCCAGACAAAAAAAACACATGACACGGTCTTTTGCTTCGCGCATGCGCATTAACCTTGGGGGGACAGGAAATTCCGCGAGTTACACAACTGAATATCATTAAAGCTAGATTACAGTCCATTCTGCGCATGTGCGGGCTTTGTTTACATTTTTTGTTTTGGTTTGGATCCACTTCAATTGTATAATATGAAGCATAGCGGCTATGCACTATATAAATGGAGTCCGAGTCAGGAGTGGAGTTGTTAATTTTTTTAAAATTGTCTTCTGAAAGACAAGCAATTAACTATTTTGAAAGATCATGAATGGAAGATATATTGTTGATCAATTCGGCATTTGTTTTTTGTGTGCCTCGTTGATGAAACATTCAGAAGAGACCGACAAAGCCGACCCAAAGGTGCGAGTCATTGTGTTGATTATATTAATGTTCAGCATTGTAAAATAAACTTTGGAAGTGTCAAAGTAATCACTAATTTTTCCTTGGGGTATTTGTTCGTCAAAGCACATTGCCAAAGTCATTGTTGCTGTCATGGCAGAAGCACTCGGAGAAAGCTTTTCGCTGGAAGAATTGGAAACGATATGTTCATGTCGCGGCTTGCTCCAGCGGGGCCTCCAGCTTCTGTCTTCGATAGAGTATGGGTATTTTTTGCTCAAGCGCGTGCCGCGAAGAGGATTTTGATACATGTATGAACAATCGAAGGACAGAGGGTGAGTTTGTATTATTGCTATTAGTTATGTACTGTTCGTTAGAAACGTGCTTCACATGTAATCTTATTGTATTTGTTCATTAGTTTATAACTTTATATATGTTTTGTTAGTTTATACGCAAAAAAATGTGGCCTGAGCAATGGTTCATTTGAGAATATGTAATGTTGTTCACCGCGATAGTTCACTCAAAGGATAATGATTATCTAAAAATAGCTGGGTAAACTTTGTTTACATATTTTGATGCTTTGCCTGCCAAAAATATACACAGACTTATATTTCTGAAAGCTTTAACCACTGGCTTTAACACACGTGATTTGTTTTATTAAATACCCCACATAATTATGCATATCCTTGCCGGGTAAAATATCAAATTATGTAAAAAGGCTTACCTGTCTATATACAAGTGTACATAGCTGTGAAAATGCAGTAATTTGGTGGTAAGAAATATCTGTGTTTCACTGTGCTTGAGTCTTTGCATTTAATTAATGATAAATATATTCATTTCAGAATCTTGTGGAAGCAATGGATTTAAATGCCCTTTGAAGAGCATTTGCGTTAGAGCTTATACAGCATCAGCCAGCTGCATTTGTCAATTTGGTAAATTGCCAGGTGAACCGCTTCAACAGACCCAGCTACGAAAAACCAGAAAATGCCTCAGAGTATTACAAATGTGGATGCTGTGTTGCAATGCCAACAAAATGGGTAAACAAATGCTGTACACAATCAAGACAGCCTTGCATAACCGCCTAGCCCTCTCTTCCCACAGTGGCACAGTTAGTACTTGATGGAAATGTTCGATCTGGACATGGCCATGCATGCATTAGAGGGATCATTGAGGGAAACTTTATTATTCATTAATCCATTTTACTGCAATTATCTCCCCATGACAGGGAGGATCATTTTAAATATTTTGAAAGAACTTGGGTAATTCACACCTGTTTATAAGGCCCGTTCACACAAGCGATTTTAAACTTTGATTTTCTCCTTTTGGCATTTGTGTTTTAGCAAAATTACAGGAAACATTACTTTGCGTGGCTTGATTATTTACTCTAACACATACACCAAAAGAAGAAAATTGCAGTTCAAAATTGCTTCAAACTTATCATAAGCTTTCTCTGTCTACTAACCACAGCAAATTTTGCTAACAAATGAAAGCCTTTATCATGTTAATGGTTAAATGTTTATGAACAGTAATATTTCATTATATAAAAGACCAGTTATCAAATACATTGGATGTTCAAGCACAACATTTTGTATATTGACATTGATTTTTTTATTCTTTAAAAGTACTCCTTGCTCCTTACTTCAGTCCTGAAAAGTGTATTGCTGTGCACCGAAGATCAATGAATCCAATATGGACACCCTGGCTCAGTATTGGGGTCCAGGGGTTTGTAATCAGATTTCCTTCTCCTAGGTGGATTGCCTTTCAGGGATTATGAGCTCCACCTAACAGAGCACTTTGTTTTAACTGGCAGACACTTGTCTACAGTGATCAGTTGAATTTATACTGATGGGTTATAACAAGTTCTTTGACTGAAGGAGGAGGGACAGGGGTTATGTTAGGAGCGATTTGCCTTCGGTAATCACTTGCAACACCATTCCACATATCTAAAGAAGACTTATAATTAGTTTTATTCCTGTTTAAATGCTGCTGACCAATGTGTTTTAAAAACACTCAAATGGCTTTTTTCAAGCCACATTTTGATTTTGTTAATAATGTTCATGCAAATCAAAATTTGGCTTTCCAAAAAGCCTTAAGTGCTCTTAAAACACGTCAATCAACATGCCTACAGAACGATCAAAATATTTGTTTGAAAATGTGATATGAAAAATATGGAATTTCATAATGAAAAGTGAAAACTAAAAGTTACTAGGATTCAGGAAAGCATAAAATGTTATACATACCTTCATTATAAGTTGTAGGATGTATTCGTACTGCCTAGGAGAATCTTTAAGAATCTTTATATGGCTCCATTGCTGTTTCTTCCCCTTGCTGAACATATACTGGCAATGGCTCATGTCTGCATTGTATTGTTTCATCTGGCTACTGATCCGTCTGGGTTTCCACAGCTGCGCTATAAGTGAACAATAAAATTTTGTAATGAGGAAATATAACAACATTAACATAACTGAAATATCCAGGGATATGTGTTATGTGCTTACCACAATTAAATCCGTCTTGATGTTTCGTATACCGGCTCGATATGATCAGCATAGTATTCGCGAAATCTCGTCACTTTTAATTCCAGCTTCAGTTTTGAAATGATTTCACCGACCAATAGTATCATTAAAGTACATTTTCGTTGCATACCTTTTCGCGAAATGTTCTTTTCGATTTCCTGGTTGGTTTTGGCGACCAGCATTAGAAGAATTTGCCTTTGAAGTGGACGGCTCTATTATATAACTCTTACGAGTCGGCCATTTTGAGCGCGCATATCCGAATAAGGACTGGAGAGCACACAAAATCAAAACAAGTGTGCTCACATTTGTTTACATTTTTGACACATGCGCAGAAGCGACTGTAATCTAGCTTTAAACTGTGATAGTATACTTCAAAATAAGATTTCCGTTTTTATTCTATTTTTAAAATAAGTTAGGGTTAAGTTAGGGTTTAGGTTAGGGTTAGGTTGGGGTTAGGGTTAGGTTTAGTATTAGGGTTTAGTTTTGCGTTAGGATAGTTTTTTCTACGTTATAAAAACGGAAACCTTATTTTGAAGTATACTATATAGCAATCACCGTTTCCACTTCGAAGCATGTGCGTTGGTTGTGCGCGTGCGCAGTGCGAGTTTGGGTGAGTTGCGCATGCATATTTGCTATCAAAACAATGGCGGTTCGAATATTTCGAAGCGCGAAAATATCAAACTTTGGAGGGATTTTTCTCCCAATTGTTCACCTGTTTCGCTTGGGGAGCAACGGATTCTGATAAAGTAAGTTTTTATCTATTTATTCATGTGAAAATTACGTAGTTACACGAGGGGTGCAACGGAATCCGTTTTCTAAGCATCTTTTGGATGCTCATCCTACGGCCTATTAATGCTAATATTAGATCTACTCCTCTTGAGTTATTTTAGTTATGTAATATTAACCTTAACTATACTAACCATGCACTTAACATTAATCTTTACTTATTAACTAGCTACTGATAAGTTGTTTTCTTTTCTTTATATTCATTTGTCTTTCAAACTACTAACCGTTTTTGTAATATTAAACCATTATTTTGTAAATATATATACCATACCCTGTAAATTCATTTAGATTGCTCTGAAGATGTTGTATTGTAAACCACGAAACGTTAGCTAATAATTTTTGTTTTACTTTTATTATGTTTGGATTTAAAGTTATTTGCTAGGCTCTGCTGTTTATCTTTAATTAAACTAGAACAACATTAATATAAAAGCTGCTTGCTTGATATCTTAGCTGCCCCACAATAATCCTCATTTAGAGACAAATCAAGTTTATTATAAAGGCCGTTAAATCGTCTCGTAAAATCGGCCGCGTACATATAAATACTCGACATCGTAAAATAATTCTCCCAATTATGAAAAACCTTCATATACGGGAATATGAAAGACAGCTTTGCATGAATTTCGCAATTTTCAAGGACTGATATCCCCAGCCGCGAATAAGTCCGAATCAGTCCAAAAAAATGAACCAATAGAAATTGTCAATAATGTCAAATTGACCAATCAAGATGAAAGAAATGGACTGATAAAAACTCCCTTAAAGTGCAAATCAGTCCAACCACCCCACAATATTTTCAAATTGACCAATCAAAGGAAAGAAATGGACTGATAAAGACTCCCTTAAGGTGCAAATCAGTCCTACCACCCCACAGATCAGTCCAGATAAGTCCAAATGACCTCGCGACCAATCAAATAAACCACCCGATTCTGCGAGATTCTTGTGTTTTACCGCTGCTCCAGATAAACCATATTTTTATTCAAAACTGAACTTGTAAAGACGTAAACTGAACTATGATATGAATTTCATATCATAATCGCAAAGGGAATTAATTATTCAAAATTCGAGATAATGAATTAATTATTTCTTTGCAAAATATACGTCAGTCACGCGATTGATTGGATTTACTAAACTTTCAAGCAAACCAATGGCAAACGCTTGTGCCCATACAGATGAAAAAATTCTCGAGCTGTCGATCAGACTTAGCGAAAACGCTCGCCCATGCATATAGATCTAGCAAGTCCTCGATCAGACTGAGCAAACTCTCGCCCATATAAATCAAACAAGTCCTCTATCTACTCGGCACGAACTCTCGCCCATATAAATTGGGCTGAGCACCGTAATTTACTTCACTCCTTATTCTACCTGAGCAAAGAGTAGAGCACTATAAAATAGGATACTATTGGTGTTCAAAATTTTATATTTGCATTAAATTTGTTCCAGAAGACAATCTTTCTGCCCGTAAACAGGTGAAACTATGACAGAAAATTTAAAGAGACACTTGGCAATTTGACTAAGACGCTCAAATAACCAAAATGGAAAACCGTAAATAGGGAGTTTACGCATGTTAAGATGTCGGCGTCGCATATTTTTTTTTCCGTAGACAGTTAATTGGACTACTCATTGAAAAAAAATTTGCGTCGGCGTCATACAGGACGATAGCTAAACAAACTGTTTGAAATAAGTGATTGTATGGAAATATTGTCTTGTGTTTACTTTTAATACAGTTTAGAACGAGTAAAACAGAGCTTTAATCTTCAGAGCAATTTTGATCAACCCTGCCGATCCACAAGTTCGATTCCCTGCAACGGTCTGAAATGCTAGCGTACTTTAGAAGACGTGAAAATGTGCGTTTTGCCGTCGTCAACAGAGCCTAGGCGATGTCATTAAATTTCCTGCTATACTTTTAATTATTCATTTCGTTTGTGTTATAGGATTAATGTCGTTGTATTGATATCACATTTAATGTCACCGTTTTGCTGCCATAGCGCACATTTCAGCTTTTGCAGATGACGCGGTCGTTAATATATTGAGTAGGAATTACTCTACCACATAGCGGCGGAAGGTATATAGCGTCCTATAAAATTTGCCATGCACTTTAGTTCAGCTGCAAGTCGACACTCACAAAACAACCAAAAAGTTCGTTAAACTGAGTTTTTGTTTTCTCATAACAACAAAATGAAACGCTTTCTTCGAACACCGCTCGTGTCTGCGAGATTTCTGTCCCTGATCTTGTTGCCACTTGCAGTTACAATGGAACAAGAATACTGCATGCCTGAGGATTACACGAACGTGGCGATTCCTTTTCGCATGGTGTATGAAGGTAAGTTTAATTTAGGAAAGTCCTTGCATGCATGTACTTGCTTCTAATTTATAGAGCTGTATATATAATATATATATTGGTTTTTAATGTCAGTTTCCATGTCATTTCTGCAACAATTTTCGTTATATACCCGTAAACGTTTTTCTTTGCCTGATAAATATTCTTTTCGTTGTAGATGTTTGCCCTTTGATAGAAAATATTTTGTCTGAAGCGACGTATGATTTCGGGGATCATTGTGCCATGAAGTGTTTGCAATATCCATTCTGTGCTGGATACAATTTTAAGAAGAAGTACCAGAAAAATACTCCAAACTGCCAGTTAACACACACGCTGGATCACAACTTTCATCATTGCAACGCTGATGACAAAGGCTGGATATTTTATCATCCCGTCGCTCCAAGAAAGGTACGAAACTGCAGTAAAATAAATGACTTAATAAACTTTGCCTGAATTTTCTTATTAATACCAAGCAAGCAATGCCTATCTAGCAATACCCACAGTCTTAAATAGCTTTAGTTATTTGTATACGCAGAATTAGCTTATTTGTGCCCAAGCAGCTAGTGAAAAGAATGCATGAGAATTTTGCGATCTTCACAAATTTTCCTATCAGCTGTACCTCATTGTTATATAGCTATATACATGCAGGGTGCCACCAAACTTAAATGCAATGTATCCCGCTGGGCATCAAGTGAAAAAGCGTTGCACACCCGAACCGGCTACGTGTATATAAATAAAGAAAATTTGGGCAGAGCTCGCAAGTTCAGAAACTACTGTTTTCCAAATAAAGAATGTATAAAGGAGAAGAAAAATACACAAAAATATACCGTTTAAGTAGGTTATTTTAGTTGAAACTCGTTTACATTATAGAGTTTTAGTTTGTCATAAAATTCAATAATTTATAGTTGTATATATACGAATGTTGTCCGTCCGGTAATTTCCTTAAGGAGTTCAGTAATTTCGCTAAATGTACACATAATTACAAAAATCTCAACTAAAGTTGTAAGCAGGTTGCATACTATACAGTTTTAGGCAAAAGTTGTGTAGTGTATAATCGGCCTATACAGGGTGTATCAAAAAAAGCGCAATCCTCGACTGAAATGTAAATTGCTAAACAAATAATAGACGAAAACGTTAAAGTTTACATTCATTTTAAAGTGTAGCCATTCAGCTTTCTAACAGTGGGTTGTTTCTTAAATTTG